TCTTTTTAAGCATTGTGTCACCCATTCATAAGAGATTTTTCTAGTATGCCAGAAATATGGTTTGATACACTAAATGTCATAATATAATTGATTAAAATTTTGATTAAAATATATTCAATTAATTGCATCTTAACATTTAATGTATCGAATCGTATTTACAGTACAATGAAATGGTTTTTCCCACTCATACTTCACATTGATAATTATTTCTAATCTTATAATCACATAACCACAGACTAACAAACATACATTTACCCCTTTAAGTTTGATGGTAATTGCAATCTCGTACAATATTTTTAAAACTTTTTAATTTCATACATTATTTAACATTTCATTTCAATTTTATACATTCGTTAAAAATTTTGTTAAGTTAACCGTTAACTGATGACGTGCCAGTCCATAAAGATAAAAAAATTCAAATAAATTAATTTAAAAAAGAGAATAAATAAATTTAAAAAAGAAAAAAGAACTTAATGCCAAGTGGGTCCCACCCCGTCCATCATGCCCCCCCCCCGCCCCTTCAAGGCTTCAATCACACTTCATCTAAGAAATGTCCGTAGCTTTCTTGTCCCCAGAACTCTCTGCCTCTTCGCTATGGAGTTGAAGCACAACCAATCCCAAATTCCAGTAAACAAAAATAATGAATCGTACCATGTTTGAACTCTGGATGAATCCTGCAAATAGAACTCGTCTGAGAATCCCAACAGGAATTTGGGGCCAATTCGGGAATTTAGGGTTTCAACTTTCAATTGATTTGGGGGTAATAGCTAGCTCTGAGAGAGAGTGGAGATGATGAGGCGATGCAAACGAAGGACGCAAAGAGGTTGCAGGAGATGAACTGAAAACATCGATGAAGGAGACGAAGCCGCGAAGGAGGTGATGTCTGGTAGGTTCTTCGTGGCCCAATGCTGCGCGAGAGATCGCGACGGCTCTAGCTTGATAGCGGGGAGGGAGAGCAGGAAGAGGAGGAGCGGGAGCACGGAGACGATCAGAGGTTGTACAAGACGGGGCTTGACGACGGCAGATGTAGATGCAATGAAACCGAGGAGACTGTGGGTTGCTTCCTCAAACCGAAGAGAGAGAGAGGTGGTCACCGATGATAGGAGGGTGAGGATGGTGTTTATCAGCGGTGGCTGTGAGGGAGGAGATGGGGAAGGAGGAAATGGGAAGTTAGAGTAGGATTGTAGGGGTGGACCCATTTTATTTTTAATTTATGTAAACAAATTTGACTACAACATCAGCAAAAATATAGGTTTTTTATTTACCACATCATTACTCAATGGTCAAATTAACTGTTTGATTAACGAATGTATGATGTTGTAATGAAATGTTAATTACTGTATAAAATTGAATTTTATTAGAAATATTGTATGATGTTGCAATTCTATCTAAACATGAAGTGGTATATTGTAATTTAGCCAACATATTGTGTCATTTTACACCCTTTCTTTTTCGCTTATAATATAATTGTTTTTTTTTTTGTCCAAAAGGAGTGTTAGGAAGAGACAAAAGATGCGTACGTGATTAAGAATTTTTTTTTCTTAAACAAAAAGATTAAGAAATCTTTAGATTCTCTAATTATCTTCCGTGCTGATGTTGTTCCCCGGATATACCGGTGCAGATCCACCTCAAAAGTAGAAACATGTATAGCTTTTTTTTACAAAATTCAACTTTTCCCCTCAAAACATATTTTTTCTTGCCTATAACCCATCATATTATCCAAATAATAAAAGTTTTTATTGTGTCAACCATCTTATTATTTAGGGTTTTGGGTTTAGAGAATTAAGCTGCTAATTTGCGACAGGAGAGACTTGATTTAAATATTTTTAATTATCTTTCTCTGTCTATGATCTGATGTTAATTTGCAGGCTGCAGGAGCATGTTGGTACTTGTTAGGAATTCAACGGGCAGAGAAATGCTTGAAAGAGCAATGCAGAGAATCAAGTGGATGCGGCCTCAGAATACTAGCTTGCAAAGACCCTATTTACTACGGAGCAACAAACACTCTCAGAGACACTGCGAGACTTGCCTGGGCGGAGAACAGAAAAGCACGGTCGACGTGCTTAGACAATGCCGATCATTACGATTATGGAGCTTATTCATGGACTGTTCAGCTTGTTACACAAACGATAGCCGATTGGAAAAAATACTTTTTCCCATCTTTTGGGGCCTAATGACTCTCAGGTACTATTCATTTTCACCTCTTTTTCCCACCCATTCTTAATTATTTTATGTTGTTGTATTGTTTTAGCTTTTGATTACCTTCAGTCTTTGTGTTAAGTGTTAGATGATTGAATTTTATTTAATTATGTGCAGCACCTTCGGAAACTTGGAAAGCTCAACTGAGTGGTTGGAGGTTGTTCAACATCATTGTTCTAACTAGTGGGCTGCTTTTGGTCACCATGTTGATAGGAAACATAAAGGTAAAGAACTTTGCAAGATTTTTTAGGACCACTCATTTAGACATGATATTGTTTAGTCAAGAGTCTTTATTTATATTCTAATAACATAACATGTCAAACTGTCTTATATAAGAAAATTCGAGACGTTCAAGAGGGATTCATGGTTAATGCTCTTTCTTTTGAGTACTGTACGTGTGTACAGGTGTTTTTGCATGCGACAACATCTAAGAAACAAGCAATGCAATTGAAGATGAGAAACATAGAGTGGTGGATGAGGAAGAGGCATTTACCTCAGGGGTTTAGACAGCGAGTGCGAAACTACGAGCGCCAGAGATGGGCCGCCATGCGTGGCGTAGATGAATGTGAGATGATCAGAAACCTCCCTGAGGGCCTCAGGAGGGACATCAAGTATCATCTATGCTTGGACTTAGTAAGACAAGTATGTTTCTATACACACTTCTAATCTATTCACTTTAGTCAAATAATGGTTAGGGCCAGCCTCCAAATAACTAGAGTTGGGCAGTTCTAAGTACAAAATTACAAACATTACAAGAGAGGTACATAGTAGATTAATATGAATACTATCTAGCTAATTCCTTAGTTATTGAAACTTGTTTCAGGTGCCATTGTTCCAACATATGGATGATCTGGTTCTTGAGAATATTTGTGACCGTGTGAAGTCTCTTATATTCCCAAAAGGAGAAACAGTGAGTTACCAACCGATATGCCTATTCTTTTACTATAACAGTACCCGTGGCATATGACTATTTATCTAGTAAAACTCAGTCTTCACTTTGTTAGAGCAGGTTCTGAGTTCAAATCTCATGGACTAATTGTTGATTAAAAAGAGCCGTGACAATACTTGTGGACCTTATAGTTTTATGTGCAACTTAGGCCACATTCACAGCAACAGACGTTCGATTCTAGTTTTACTCTATTACATGCTCATTAAATGATAACTTTCAAAGTAAAATATGGTAGCAATAGTACATAGAATAAAATTGCTAGTCCTGCTTTTTCTTTCTGCAATTCAAATTTTAACAGCGACCTTTATGAGCTTCATACAGATAACTAGAGAAGGAGATCCAGTTCAAAGAATGCTGTTTGTAGTAAGGGGTCACCTTCAAAGCAGTCAAGTGCTCAGAGATGGTGTGAAAAGTTGCTGCATGTTAGGCCCTGGCAACTTCAGCGGCGATGAGCTTTTGTCATGGTGTCTCAGAAGGCCCTTTATAGAAAGACTACCACCATCTTCCTCCACATTAGTCACTCTTGAAACCACAGAGGCATTTAGCCTTGAAGCTGAGGATGTCAAATACGTGACTCAACATTTTCGGTACACATTTGTGAACGAAAAGGTTAAGAGAAGTGCAAGGTACTACTCACCCGGTTGGAGGACTTGGGCTGCTGTGGCAATTCAGTTGGCTTGGAGGAGGTACAAGCACCGGTTAACGCTGACTTCGTTGTCGTTTATAAGGCCTAGGAGACCTCTATCAAGGTGTTCTTCACTGGGAGAGGACAGGCTCAGATTGTATACGGCCCTGTTGACGTCTCCAAAGCCAAATGATCAAGATGACTTTTTTGATTGATTATAGAGATCAGTCAAAGGCTGTGTGCATTGTGAACTTTGGTTATGTTTTAATGTCTCAATTTTGTATATATAGAACAAGGGGAAGACATGATATTAGTGATTTCTTGGGTAATTATTAAGTAGAATTATGAGAATGTAAGTGGCAGTAATACTAGTGAAATATAAATGATTGCTTTTATCTAGACATCTAAAATCTCTATTAGCATATATATTCTCTTTAACCAAAGGGATACATAACACCACATAAACAACATTCTTCAGTCTTTAGCTGTCACTCCAGACCAGGTGTAGGCATCATTAGTTCTAGTTATCCACTAGCATGCACACTTAATAGTTAATTAGTACTGCCTCTCGCTTAAACATTAAGGCCTCTCATTTGGCGTACGTGTAGAATTGGTTTCAATTGAACAACTCACTAGATTCGATATATGTAGGAAGAAATGAATGTCAACTTTTAAATTATGTTCAAGCTTAAAGGTGGAAGATGGATTAGTCATTGTGAGGGAAAGCTGTCCCTTCTAATTCTCCACAAAATGGTACGATTAGAAGTGATAGCTTTCCTTCATGATTAATCATGATTAATCATTCTTCTACCTTCATCAAAGACAAATTAATGTAAACTTATCCAAAATCTAAAATTTTGATGTCGGCATTAATTTTTCCTTAGGAACTGCAGAATTTACACCAAACAAGGCCTAAAGAAGGCCTAATGTATTGGATATGTACATCATAATTAATAGGGAACTTTAACGAAAAGCACCCGGTACTGTTCACTTTAACGAAAAACCACATTTTTACACTAAAAAGTCAATCCTGGTACTATTCACTTTACCCTTTATTTTGTCCTTATCATTAAAACTCAAAGTTTTCAAGCCCTTTTCATTAGTTTTCCTTAATTAATATTGTCCATATCAGACATGCCACGTCAGCAGTATTGACACATAAACTGTGGCTTATGTCCTAAGCTACCTAAGCTGAATATTAGTGTATAAATACTCTTTCTCTCTCATTTGTAGAAAGATAAGTTCAATTGTAATTACTGTTTTCTCTAGTGAAATACTTCTTAGCTTCCTTTCTTCTCTCTTAATTTTTCTCTGAATCCTTGATTTCTCTGTTTCTTGATTCTCTATTGTGAGTGTTAATATGGTATTGAGAGCCAGTATCGCTTGCGTGGCTGATGCTGGATTCTTCTTATGCTGTTAACTTCACTGGAAAAGAGGTGATATGGTTCTTTCTCTGTAGTCGAAATTACAACATTTCTGTTTGATTTCATGAAGGCTGATGCCATATATGTTTGAGTTCTTGTAATATTGATTGAAAATTGTTTGAAGGCCGATGCCATAATTGTGCTCAATTTTATGAGTTTAATGAATTGAGTGAAAACCGATGCCATACGAAGTTGTTGACTTCGGAAGATTTTTGTATACATATATATAAGAATTGATTCTTGTTCAGTTTTTGGTAATTTTACACAGTTGTTGAGTGAAATTTCATCTGGGTAATTTTCTAGCCATCTGGGTTCTTGATCTATTTCTTGATTTGTGGTATTACAAAGATTGTTTGTGATCATCATGTCTACTACTGTGAAGATTGAAAGTCTGCTTGGTATGCTTACAAGTAAGCTTAGTCATGAAAACTTTATCAAATGGAGTTTTCAATTTTGTTTTGTACTTCGTGGATATGATCTTCTTGCTCATTTCACTGGAAAGTTGATTTGTCCTCCAAAGTTTGTTCTTACACCTGAATATGGGGTTACCAAAGAAATTAGTACTGCATATAAAGACTGGGTTAAGGAAGATATGGCTTTGTTAAGTCTGTTGATTGCTACTTTAAGTAATGATGCTATTGAACATGTTGTTGGTTGTAAAAGATCGTATGAGGCCTGGACTGCATTACAAGATCGTTATATGGATGTGTCTAGTACTAGTGTTAATCACTTAAAAGATGAGCTTCATACTTTGCAAAAGGATAATGATACAATTGACAAATATATATTGAGATTGAAAGCACTTAAAGATCAGTTACAAGCAGCTGGGGAAAAAGTTTCTGATAATGATCTGATTATTGCTGCCTTGTCTGGTCGTCTACCCTCTGATTATGATATGATTAGGATTGTAATCTTGGCTAGGGATACTCTTATTACAATTGGTGGGTGCTGAGAAGAGTGTTGAGGCTAGAATGAAATCTCTAGTACATAGTATGACTGTTATGTATGTTAATGGTCTTACTCAGGGTGGTGTTGAAAATTCTTCTAGTTCTAGTTCTTCCTCACAGTCTTCACAGGGATATCATGATGGAAATAAATCTTCATCTAATGTTGGTTATCAATCTCCCTCTTAGGGTGTTTTTCAATCTATTGGAACTAATTTTTTAGTCTCAACAGAATTCTGGTCAAGGTTCTAGGTCTTATAACAATAACTCTTATAGGCCTAGAGGTAATGATGGATACAAGCCTCGATTCAATGGTGCTCGAAATGGAAATTCATGGCAACCTTGATTTGGTAATTCTAATAATAGGTATGAACCTATTCCTGAATGTCAGATTTGTTCTCGAAAGGGTCACACTACAGTGACTTGTCTGTATAGAAATGAAACCAATAGGAAGCCTATTCTAGAATGTCAAATTTGTGGAAAACGAGGCCATATAGCTATTAATTACAAGCACAGAGGCAATTATTCTTACCAAGGGAATCAACCTCCTCTATCTCTCTGCTAACTATGCATATTAGGGTTTTCAATAAGTTCTTTGACCTCAACCACCAATGTTTTCACCTCTTAATCAATATGTTGTTCAAGCAAATGGAGCAACATCTTCTGGTCAAGCAAATTTCATAGCAATGAATGCTCAAAACCCTTATGAATTTGTTGTAGGAGATTCTTGGATTCTTAACACAGGAGCATCTCATCATATGAGTCCTGATGTCACATTACTTTCAAGAGCTACTCCATATGGAAAATAGTTATGGGAAATAATGAAGGTTTGATAATTAAACATAGTGGCAATGGAACTTTATAGACTCCATCGCATTCTTTATTTCATAAGAATATTTTGCATGTTCCTATGTTGACTATAAATCTGTTATCTATGAAGAAGTTATGCAAAGATAATCATAGTTGGTTTATATGTAATGAATAACAGTTTTTTTTGTGCAAGACAAGGTAACAGGGGTGATACTTCATCAAGGAAAGAGTAGCAATAATGAACTGTTCAAAGTTCCTGTATATATTTTTCCTACATTGTTGAATAAAGGTGGTTTGTCTTTTGCTTTCTTGGGGCATGCAGTGAGGAGTACCCTGTGGCATCAAAGGCTTGGGCACCCTTCTAATAAGGTGTTGACTACTATGCTAAGAGATTCTAAAAATTCTTGTATTACAGATGATCATGTGAAAGTTTGTACACATTGTCTAGATGGAAAGATGAGTATGATTCATTTTCCTGAGTGATTAGATAAGATTGAGGTTCATTTTCATAAGATTCACACAGATGTGTGGGGGCCTTCACCAACTATGTCTCTTAAGGGCTTTAGATATTATGTGTCTTTTATAGATGAAGCCACTAGGATTGTATGGATTTACCTTTTAATCAATAAGTTGAAGTTTTTGGAACATTTCTAAAATTTTGTGCTTATGTTCAGAACTAATTTCATATTCGAATTAAGATTTTACAATTTGATGGTGGTGGAGAGTTTATGAGTAATGCATTTCAGAGTTATCTTTCTACCAATGAAATTATGCATTTTTTTTCATGTTATTACACCCCACAGCAAAACGGATTGGCAGAAAGGAAACAACAGCACTTAATTGAGACTTCCATCACTTTGTTATATGTTGCCAAGTTACCACAGAAATTTTGGTATCATGCAATGGCACATGCTGTGTTCCTGATTAATCGGATGCCTTGTAAGACATTCAAGATGGAGTCTTCCTTTTGGATAGTATTTGGTAAGACTCCTAATTTGTCTTTTGTCAAGATATTTGGTTATGCCATTTATCCATATCTTAGGCCATACAATATCAACAAACTACAAACCAAGTCCATGCATTGTATGTTTCTTGGTTATTCTTATGGATATAATGGTGCTCTTTGTTACAATGTTTTGACATATAAGATTATGGTGTCTCACAATATAATATATGATGAAAGTTTTTTTTTCCTATCTGGATTTGGTTAGAACTTCTACTTCCTCTCAATCATGTTCAAGTACTAGTACACAGTTAAGACCAATTGTTGTTCGGTTGTCTACTTCTGCTTCACAGTCACATGTACCTGCTCACAGTAATTTCATTGGTTCTCGTAGTTCACTCTCCAATACCACTGCGTTCAGTAATTCTCAATCTTCAAATGTACAAGAATCAGTATCCCCAGTTCATCTTAACAGTTCTAATGCTACTATTTCCACATCACCTGCAATGTTGCCTGTCCTTGACTCTGGTCAGTTAGAAATTGTTTTGCCCAAAAAACATTCATCTTCATCACATACATCATTGGTCCTACCTGTATTAAGTGGAATTCAGACAAGATTGAGAATTGGAACCATATCCAGACAAGATTACACTGCATTCACTACAACTTTTCCAAAAATTCAGCCTTTAATTTTGATTGATGACAATCATTTTTTGGGGGGGGGGGGTTTACTTTTCTAGCTAATATCACTGATTCATTTGAGCCTTCTACTTTCAAGCAAGCTTCACAAATTCCTCACTGGCAAGTGGCTATGCAAGAAGAATTTGATAAACTACAAACTCAAGGTACTTGGGTTCTTGTTCCTTCTACTGCTGAAAAAAATTTCATTGGCAGTAAATGGGTTTACAAAATCAAACGAAATTATGATGGTTCAATATCTCGATATAAAGCCCGATTGGTTGCTCAAGGGTTTAGTTAAGAAAAGGGACTATAGTGAAAACGTTAGTCCAGTAGTAAGGCATACCATAGAAAGGCTAGTTCTAGTTCTTGTTGCCATTCATCATTGAGATTTAAGACAATTAGATGTTAAAAACGCATTCCTTCATGGAGAATTACAAGAAGAGGTTTACATGAAGCAACCTCAGGGGTTTGTCAACTCTAGTTGTCCTTCTCATGTTGGTAAACTAGTTATCTTACTGTTTTATGTCGACGATATCATCATCACTGGTTCAAATCCTACAGTGATTCAATATGTCATCAATACTCTTCATGCAGTGTTTGATCTTAAAGATATGGGAAAATTAGCCTATTTCCTTGGTCTTCAGGTTTCTTATAAATCAAATGGGGATATATTTGTGAATCAGTCTAAATATGTCAAATATCTTATTCATAAGGCTACCATGGATGACTGCAAACCATGTTCAACCTCGTGCAAGCCTCGTAATCAAGTTCTAACTACTAAGGGTATCTTGTTGCCTGATCCTACTCTATATTGAAGTTTTTAGGAGGTTTACAATACCATACTTTCACGAGACCCGATATTGCATTTGCAGTTAAGACAGTATGTCAGTATATGAGTACACCAACTGATGTCCATTTTGGAGTGGTTAAACAGATCTTGCGATTTTTACAAGGAACAACAAAATGTGGCTCGAACTTTACTGCAACATCATCGTTGTCTCTTAATGCATATAGTGACTCAGATTGGGTGGCTGACTTGAACACCAAGAGATTTATTACTGGTTATGTGGTATTCTTAGGTGATAACCCGATTTCATGGCAATCCAAGAAACAAGCATCTGTTTCTAGGAGTTCTACGGAGGTAGAATATAGCTGACGTATCTTGGAATTGTTTGTTACTTAAAGATCTTCATGAAGTTTTGGTGTCTCCTCCACTTATTCATTGTGACAACCCACATGTTATTCCATTGAGCTTGAATCTTGTTCAACATTCTCGGATTAAGCATTTAGAAACTGATGTACATTTTGTTCGATAGCGTTGACACTTATCACATGAGCGAGATATTCTGATGGCATCTCAGTGGAGTGTTGGCTAGTAATATCTTTGGTGAAAAGCCTTGTGTGCTAGAGATCAAGATCTAGCATGATCTCCGCAGACTCCTTCATGTATTTTCCGAAGGACAATTTCCGCCTCTGCGGGCGTAAGGCATCTTAGGTATGGTAGGTTAAAACCCCGCTTGTAGAGTTGGTCATTAATGATCAAGTAATGGGTAGCCTTGTATCGAATCTACTTAGCTTGGACTTTGTCATTTGGAAGGGTGCCATGAGCAAGGAATCTATAAATTGGGGTAATCCAACTATCACCCTGTTATAAGTTGCACACTTCCGCAGCCATAGTGCTTGGTGCTGCCAACAATTCGACCTGCATTTTTCTCCCAATCTTGTCTTTCACTGTTGAGGCGAGGCGATCCAAAGCATCTGCATGACTATTTGCCGCTCGAGGAATTTGGGTGATCTGGTAGTCTTGAGCAATAATTATGTTTGTGCCAGATATACTGCCATGGAGCTATCCTTAGCGTCAAAGTTGTTGGTGACCTGGTTAACCACCAATTGGGAGTCACTAAAGATATCAAATTGTTTAACCCCAAGGTGTTTGGCCAAACGTAAGCCTGCTAGGAGGGCTTCATATTTGGCCTCATTGTTTGACGCCTTGAATTTGAAACGAAGAGCATACTCCATCGCCACTTTGTCAGGGGTCGTAAGGACTAGTCCTGCTCCACAACCCTGTTGGTTGGACGAGCCATCAACATATAAACTCCATGATGGGGCTGTTGGTTCTATTTTCTGAGCTTCCGAGGGTAATGAAACTACTTTTTTAGGCGTAGAAACAATGTCAACATGATATGTGAAGTCAGTGATGAAGTCTGCCACTGCTTGGCCCTTCTCAGCTGGCTTTGGTTGGTAGGATGACACGCCCCGACCCTAATATTCCTCGAATACCAGGATAGACACGTGCTAGCCGACACCCGAGGGTGACGAAAGCCATTAATTGATACAAAAGCTAAGAATAAGAAATAAATAAGGGTTATGAATTTAAAATACAATGAATTAATAATTTAGGAACGTGTTCAGAGCATACAACTAACTAGAGTTCTAAAAGAATTAATATAAAATTGAATAAATAAAAGGATGTGGGTCCTACACCGAGATGACTCGAATATGCCAATGCGAAAGCGTTGACGTCGGGATCGTATGCCTCGATTCTAAATCCTGAAAGGGGGCGCAAAACAAGGGTGAGGGGACCAAGTTCATATATATACATAATACAAAAACAGTTATGAACATACTAACCTCCAGGTTTATATATAATGAAAACTACTAACATAATAAGTGATAGGGTTTTTGAAACTCTAGCATGCCATAAAACATCTCGACAGGTATAACGCGGAAAAACATCTTATAAATCATCGCGTGTATCATCTCGTAGATCATCTCGTAAACGTGGTGTGCTGCTAATAAGATCACTGAATAATAATATAACTCCCTACCCTATGCCAACACTGGTTTCTGTGCCTGTAGCCAGAGATTACCAACTCCCGGCCCAATGACTTCTCAGTGTCCCTCAGCCCGTAGCTAGGGATTATTTCTCCCAACCTATCTGCCAACACCAGATCCCCGCCCCAGGCGGCATAGTGTCCACTAGATACGCATAAATAGTTACACCTCTAAAAAATAACCACTTCATAGTATAAAGTCATCCATCGTCTATACCATAAAGAGGGGTTTCTAAAACATGTTCTAGCATCCTATCGTCATCCATCATATAGTCTACCAGTTCATGGTTTTTATAGAAAATACGATATATTAAAATATAGCTCAATATAGGCTAACAATTAATTTCTCACAAAAAACACGATACGAAAATCAACATATTCAATAAACATGCTTAACATAAAATCAAAACATAAACTCGTAAGGCATGCTATTCATTTATGCAATTGAACTATAAAATCATGTAATTTTAGAAGGGATCCACTCACAGTACTTCGCCGTCGAAAAGTCATGCAGCTAGCGAAGACAGAAACGCCATTATAATTGCCCCTAAGCACATAAAGAGTCCAATAAATAAAACTATATAATAGCAATTGAATTTGGGAAAACGGACATTGGAAACGGATTCAGAACGTCGAATTACCCTAAGAAGGGTCCTGGATAAATTTCGTAAAATGTCAACAGAATATCCTTAGAATACTCCAAAGAATATTTCCTGGCGGAATATTCCACATAAAGGGTTTGGGTTTAGCCAATTATGTGGGCTAGGTTTAAAGGAGAGGGCTTAGGGCCCTGGTTAAAAAGGCCCGAAGGCCTTAAGCCTAAGGGTTTTGGGTTTCTAGATAAAAAGGCTTAGGGCCTTAGCTAATTTGGCCCAAAGACCTTTAACTTACAACAATTAAAAAAAATAAATAATAAAATTGAAATGGGTTTTGGGTTGGGCTCGGCAGGAAAGGCCCAAAGGCCTTAGGTTGGTGGGTCGCCGGATTCAATAGGGAGGAGAAGGCCGGATTTCGGCCGGAGAATTCCTAAGCTCCTATGGAGCTCAAAAAACAACCAAAACATGTCATTCAATATACCAAATTGAAGCCCCAAAGGTAAGGAATCGAAATATACCCTTGGTTCCCATCATCGTGGCCGGAGTTGGCTGGAAAATGGCCTGGAAGGCACGGGTTCACTGAGAAAACTAGG